GGATGGATGGATGGATGGATGGATGGATGGATGGATGGATGGGATGGAATGGAATGAATTAGGTTTAACTCACATTTCACATTTATATGTTTTTGTTGACACCTTTTCCTCCCAAGTGGATTTGCAGCCACACAGTGATACTTTCCAGTGTCAGAGGCCTGGATGGAGCTGAAGATGAGCTGTGATTCATTACTAACTGGTTTTTGTTTATCTTCCTTGTACCAAGAGTAGTTAGCTGCTGGGTTAGCATCACTGCTGCAGGTCAGAATCACTTTTCTGTTCTCCACTATCTCACCAGAGGGACTGATTGACACAGATGGAAGCTGAGGAGCATCTGCAGGAGAAAACATGTACACATCTGATTTTTTAATAATTCCATCGATTTGAGTTTTTACACTGGAATTGATTTTAATATAATCTCACTTTTAATAAAGATAATTTGGGGCAAACTTTTATTTATAGCAGAGGTCTGGTATGTAGCTGATTTATATCCTGAAGCTTTAGGCTGAATGTTGGAGGAAGAACTCACAGACTGATGGAGAGGGAAACTCCTTGTATCCTTCCAGAGCACAGGAATATTTGTCTGCAGGATAAACCGAGACAAAAACTGAGGAAGATGTTTCTCTCAAGATTTCCTGTCCATTTTTGATCCAGATATAGGACTGATGTTTAGGCTGACAGCTGCTTTGACATCTTAGCTCCACCCTGCAGTAACTGTTTGTGTACTCCAACTTCCTGACCTTTACCTGGAGAGCTGGAAACCAGATGAAAAGGAAAAGTCCTTCATGCAGTAACATGCATTCAAAACAATCTTATCTGTTTCATGTTACCTGTGACAGACAGAGAGACTCCGGGTGAACTAGTATAACTTCTACCATTGTTTGTCTTAATGGTGAACTGATACTGACTCTCAAGTCTGTAATTCTCAGAGAGCAGCCAGTTGGATGACAGAGATACTGAGTACGTCCTCTGTAATCTGGGTCTGATATCAGGTCAACTGGAGTACCTTCATTGCTTTTAATGGACCACATAGTGTTTTTAACTAAACGTTTGATTATTGTTGTTTTTTTGATGTAGGTACAGCTTATTTCCACTGATCCTGATTCCAAAGCACATATTTCTGTCTGAGTGTAGTTCACCTGCAAGGCGACGCTATTCTGAACCTCTGGAACAGAGAGAAGAAAGGGAAACATCAGAGAACATTGGCAATCACAGACCATATAATATAAAACCTCAAAGAGAATCAATGAACATTAAAAATCACAAAACAGTCATGAACATCTGGCAACACAGAGAACATACAGGTAGAGATCTTAGAGAGCATGGCAGGCATCTCTAACCTGGAGAACATCAGATATCATATAGAACTTTTCAAATCACAAGGAGGATCAGGGAATGTCTAAGAACATACTGTAGGTAGGAGAACATAAGAGAACATACCGGTACATCTTAAAACAATAAGAATACTAGAGAATAAGAGGGAACATAAGAGAATATCAAAGAACACCATAGAATACAGTTAAACATCAAAGAGAATCAGTGAAAGCGGATAAACACAAATGATATTTCATCACAAGGAAAATATCAGATAGTTCCAGAGAAAAATCAAAGAGAACATTTATGAATCTAACATCTAAGAATACAAAACTTTAGAGAACTCAGAAGAATATGAAGAATGTTATAGAACATCAAAGAACTCCGGATTAATCAGTGAAAATTGGACAAGACCAGATAAGATAGAACACCAGAGAAAAATCTGAGAACACCAGAGATCACAGAGAAGTTTAGGGAACAAAAAGTATACAATAACATCTGAGATTACAGAGAATATTGGGGTCCCAAAAAAAAGGAACAACTCAAATCAATAGCACATAAATTGCAGCAACTTTAACCACAACCACAAGGGAATCTGCACCTAGAAGGAATCATTGCTCCTAATGTGTTCTTGTCTAGTAAAGGAGAGTACAGCTGCTTTACCTGCATTTAACCAGGAAGTATTTGACATTACTGCCACATATTTTACTTTAATAAACAACCACATAAAACAGCACTTTTATTAAGTTTGTGGTCCGATGTGGCCCTCTGCTATTGTTGCCTTCCTTAAGGGACATTGTTTATCTCTGATGAAAGCCTTCCTTATAAAAACTAATTAACCTCTACAGGAGGGGCATCAAGCCTATTTATATAAGGGCCAATTCATCATCACCAAATCTTTAAAAGACTATGTTGTAGCTCTATAAATGAAATGTTTGAGTTCATCATTTTATATAATAAGAGCAAGCTACTCTGGCACTACAACTTTACTCCCATTAAAGTTTACAATTTTAGCCACTTTGTACACTTTAATAAATAATATGCCTCTACTTTATACATGATTCTGTAGCCCTGTGGGATTATAATTCTTTCTGTGCCAGATATACAGGGTAGCTATAGACATAAACTTTAGTTTTACTTAAGTTGAGTTTAACTTTTGCTTATCAACATGACCCTTTGATTCTGATATATAATTAGATTAAGTGATTATATTGCACAGATTCTGTGTAATAATAAATGTGGTCATACTGTACCTGACAAGCAGAGCAGGATGACAGTAAGTCCCCTCAGCGGTGCAGGTAAACTCATGGCTGTTCCTCTCCACTATGAAACCTTTCAGTGACAGTAGATCTTGTCTTCGGGTAAATAAGGTCTTCAGTTAGTTCTGGAGAAAAGACGTAAGATCTGCACTCAGTCGGATCAGCAAGTTTGCACAGAAAATGTCCTTGATGTCTCCATCAAGTGAAATCTATGTTGTGAAAGGAGATTTCCTTCCTCTTTCCAGTAAATCACAAAAGGTGAACAAATCCTGCTTCTGCAGAACACCCTCTGCCTTTCAACCTGAAACAGGTCAGAGCTGGACCTAAAGACAGACCCCCAGCAGTGGAGAAGAGAGTGTGGAGCTCAGCCGCTTTCAGTTGATGAGACTCACCTGGTTTCCGTGTCCCCTGAAATCTAGAATGGGGGCAACTGGGGCCAGTGTTGATTTGATCCTGGCCCCCACTATGACCGCTGTACTGGGAACCTAATATTATTTCTCTTGATGATACAGATTAGCTGTGGTTTAATAGCTTTAATTTAGACAATTAATTAATTTAGAAAACAATGTGTTGCACTCTCAGCTTTAAATCTCTGTTTTCATCTCAATCAGTGGCTCAACCTGCAGCTCTAGAGCTCCAAGTGGCCCTTTGGCTCTATGGCTTACTTCATACACTATATTAATGCATAAGCTTTTTCTTGTTTTTGGTTTCATTCTTTGTTCATGCCCCCATACAAAATTAAAACAAAAAAAAGTTAACTATTGCCCCATCCCAGCCTCCTTCTAATGTATTTGCTCTAGAACCCCTGTTGTGTCATAGAGCTGAGGAATAAAGGACTCAAATGACACAAACCTGACACAGCGGAATAAAGTTCTGAGTTTAAATACAGTGGGGTCAAACAAAACATCCCTAAAAATGATTCAGTTACATAAACATCTGGTTGCCACACAAAAATAATCATCTGGTACCGAAGGGTTGTTTAATCTCCTGCCAGGATCTCTATAAAACTATATAAGTTTAAACACTCCACCCTTTTTTAAAAGAATTGATGCTTTTGCTTGCAGAGTATGTTGGGGTTGTCATTTGGGCTATGAGATAATGAAGCAGTTTAAGTGAAGAATGAGACCGATAAAGGACCACTCTGTTAAAAATAATCAATTTCTGCAGTAGCATTGTAGATGAAACTCCTTAAAAATATTTGTTCTTTTTGGTCAGAGGAAGGAAAAGGTTATTTTTACCACAATCATTTAAATTCAGAAACTCAGTGTTTGAATGAAACAGTTTTCGTTCAGTTTAAAGTTCTTAAATGTTTTTAGGTTTTTTTTATGGAACAGATATAGAGATCTGTTGGAAAACCCAGTTTTAATGAATTATTTCAGAGATAAATGTTCTTTAATGTTTAATGTTGGAGCAGCGTGAAATCAAAGAAAAGAAGGTAAGAAGGTAAATTAAATGAGTAACTACACAAAGTGAAGCCCAGTCTATGCGGTCATAACTGTTGTAAAAATGCAAATGTTTAATGTTGTAAAATTATCATAATTATCCAGGTTGTATCCTGATTTATATTCATATCACAGTTTAAACAACAGAATAAAAATATTTCAAATACTTTTCACAAAGGAACGAATTAAAGTAAGAAAAATCTAAAAAAGTAAAGAAAGTCTTATTGGTTCCAGTAAGGAGCTGATTTAAATGATGCCCAGGTTTTCATAGATGACATCATCCAGAGGATCCTCTCTGAACTTGGTTGAACTCATGGTGGATGAGGAAGAAGCTGATGTGGTGACAGACTCCGAGTTTTTGCTTAAAGTCGCTGCTTTGCAAACCTGAGCGTAAAGATGTGCAAACTGGTCAGGATTGGGTTCAGTGTCTTGGCCCTCTGATGGAGTTGTGCTATCCGGCTGGGAGTAAATGGGTTCGTCTGATGTTTTTGCTGGATTCTGTAGAGTGGGTTGTTTGTTTTTGTCTGGACTGAGTTTATCGTAAACCTCTGAGTAAACTGAATCCAGCAAATCTGTATTAGGTTTTGGATCTGATTCTAATGTGGTAGGAACGGTGTCGACAGGTTCTTTTGCAAATGGTGGTTTCAGAGGAAGTACACTCGCCGGGTCGATGTAGTGAGCTCTGGTTTGTATGGGTACTATAATAGATGGGATGCAGTCTTTCGGATCAGCATATATAGCGTCTGATTGGCTGTCGGGTTTATGTCCGCTGGTATCGTTGTGTGTAGGAACCGATGGGAGAGGCATCAAGGTGATCGGAGCAGGAAGACCTTCTGCCGGACAGACTGAATCGTCTCGACTCTTTGGGATGTCATCAAACACGGGAGATTTCCTGTCCTGCACTCTGAGTTTGTTTTCCATGATGGCCGCCATGTTGGTTAGGTCAGGGATTTTGGGAAGAGGGGAACATGCTTGAATGTTGGTAACAGCATCCTGCTCAACGTCTTGGATTTGGTGTCCAGAAGTAGAAGTTGCAGTTTTCCGTTTGATGTTACTCTTAATCAAGGAGAAGATGTTGTCAGCCTGCTGGGTCTTGAATATGAAAGTTCCAGGCCCGGATTCACAGCGGCGCCCTGCTTCGATGGTGAAGGTCACCTGGTGCGAATACAGAGCCATGAGAACATGGACAAATTACTTCCTGTTTCCCCCCCTTTATATGTCAACAAATGACATCGGTACCTTATCATTTCCATATCGCCGCAGTAGTTCATACGGCCACTCCATAACAACCTCCTTCTCTTTCGTACTTCTCAGTAGTAGCGACTGCTCTTCCACCTGCAGCCAGTAGGAGCCTTGCAGACCACATCGCATTGCTGCATCACTTTTCTGTAGCCCAACCCAGAACTGAGGGGCTGCAGATGAGTGGAGAAAGTTCATGTCAACAAAATGGAAGGGCGAGTGCCTTTTTCTGGTATGATCTAACTAAATGATAAAATGTCTTCACAAGGTTGTGGTTTTCCATCTTAGTTAAAAACATACTAATACATTAAGTGAGACATTTTTGGATTATTCCTTTGGTGTAAGGATGGTGACAAATCCTCTTATTTCCCATTAAATGGTGGTATATTTGTAAGACAGCGCTGACATTCTGCATCTAATAAAATTATCAACAATTCAAACAATGCTCCCCCATTAAAGGAATAGTACACCCAAAACATGATTAGCCTTCATTTTCTACTCACCCCCATGCTGAACAACACTNACTACATCCAGAACTTGATGGTGGACAGGATGGGTTGGCCTGTTGATGTTGTCTACCTTTGTGTATTGATGTAAAAATGTGTTTGGGGGGAAATGGTTATAATCTGTAATGCTTCACTCCATTTACCATCTGGTTTTATCAATAAAGCACAAAGAACATTAGAGGTCTTTGCTCGGCAAAAGGAAGAGAAAGAGGGCTGTGATCTATTTAGGTATCGGAAATGCCAGAGTGAGTCCATCTCTCAACCCGATCAGTTTGGTAAACATCAAACTGTGAGTTCTAATAATACTGAGAAACTTGCAGGATTTTTGTTTTTACAAAACCAGAACTCTGGCTGTTTTTCTATAACCTGATTTATGCATCTCCATTGAAATAAACGTTTCTCTTACAGATTTAAAGAGTGGATCTGTAATAAAAATAAAGGTTCACCTTCATGTGCAGAGGCATAAATCTGGTTTTCCTCCATGTGGACTTGACTGGTCCCTGAAGTTTTTTCTCTCTGTGAGACAAAAAAAGGCAACTTTCACTATAGTCTTACCATAAACAGAGATTTCGTATGGAAGAGGGGCACAATCACCTGAGTGGAAATTTGGTTAAGGAAAATAACTCTGAGACACTTGAAGGTCATCAGAGGATTAAATGAAAACACAACAAAATGAAGAACAGAAGTAAATGAAGTGAAGTTCTGAGAAACTGAAAGCTGGAGAGAATCAGATGAAACCAAAGTCTCAGTTCTAATGAATACAGAGATATAAGTAGATCTGTGCAGTAATATTCATAACCACAGAGGTTCAAAATAGATGAAAATAAGATTAATATATATATTAATCACGGCACTGAGGAATATTGTCTACATTCAAATATTTCCCAATTGTACCAGTCAGCAAAATTTGTTTGTTAGGAATGTTGTGAAGACAATAAAAAGCCTTCATGCTGCTTTTGATGCATCTGAAATAAACTGATTGACAGCTAGTACAATCATAACTGTTAAACATAAGTTTCCTTTTTTAAAATTTATCATTACTGTTATTGAACTTTTCATTTATATTAGGGGTGTTTTAATAAATGTCAATTTGAAGCGCCCTGAAGACAATATAGAACCAATGATCATCTGATGAACTCTCCAGTTCAGCAGGGCAGTCAGCTTTGAAGATACCTGGAAGGTGCTCTGACACAGCTTGTCCACCCACTCCGCACAGTCGTCTTTGAGGGTAGCGAACACCAGTGTTCTGTCTTGGGTCTCCACACAAAACGCTGACATGTTCTCCTGCACAAAGAGAGTCACGGTTACAGGCTGCTTGTACAGACCAGAGCTGAGGGAACCTGATGGATCAGGCTGAGGAACCAACCATGGGGCAGGCCTCAGCATTGGGGGGCAACCTGAGGACAGTGATCAGCTCTGACAGTAGGACCACCTTAGTCCTCTTGTCTCCATGAAACTGCTGGTGTCTGCGGAACCCAGGATAATCGCCGCCTCCTGCAGGACAGAGGCAGAACACCCTCAGAGGACAGACTAGTCATCCTGACAGGTCAGAGATTGTCCTGCAGCTTTAAGGAAATGTTCAAAAGGATTCTAAAAACTTAAAATCCAACAAGCTGGTTTTCTATCTAAAATGCTACAAAGCATGAAAACAATTTAAAAAATATCTATAAATGGCCGAAGATAATCAATGTATTAAAATAACTTGGCTGTGGTTAAATAACAGCATGTCACCTTTTTATGAAAACCTTCTGCTATACTTTCTAAGAGCTGAATTTTAAAAAAAATTCAGTCCATTTTTCAAAGATGTGTCTATAGGATATACTCATCTGCAGCCATTCTGATTCACAATCAGTTAGATTTTACATGTCTGTCTCCAGAGATGGCAAAAGTACTCACTTTCCGTACTTGAGTAAAAGTACAGATACTTGTGTTAAAAAATACTCTGGTAAAAGTGGAAGTACTGATTAAACTTCTTTACTCAAGTAAAAGTAACAAAGTACAGGCTTGTAAATTTACTTAAAGTATAAAAGTAAAAGTAGAAACCACTTTTTTTATGTCGTTGCCTACATTTTAAATGGATGTCTGCCAATAGGACTAGATCTCCGTTGTGTTCATTTTCAATCATCTCGTCGTCCATGCTACTATGCTAACGCCACCGCCACCAAGCTGCAATGATTTGCCGCGAATGAATACCGCCGAATCTGTCGATTCATCTTGTAGTGGTACATCAAATGCAACGTAGATTCCCATCCAATTACGGTAGATTGAATTTGGTATTGATGACGTGAAAAATAATAACGGTAACTCCATTGAAAGGATTCAAAACTAAAGTAACGAGCCAATTTTTTAAAATGTAAGGAGTAGAAAGTGCAGATATTTGTGTAAAAATGTAAGGAGTAGAAGTAAAAAGTCCCCATAAAAAAGAGGAGTAAAGTAAAGTGAAAATATCAGAAAAATGTAGTTAAGTACAGTAAGGAAGTATTTGTACTTTGTTACTTCCCATCTCTGTCTGTCTCCAACATGATGTTGCAGATTGTCTGATTTTTGTTCTAACTTGTTGTGCTGGGGTCAAGGCCAGCTTGTATGGGGCCTTGAGGAGAGAAACATCGCCACCAAACAGCCTTTCAATGCAAATTCTGTGAAATCTGGTAGAGGAGGCCGAGTTTCATTAAAGTTAATCATGGATGATTTTGATATTAATATTGATTTTGATTATGATATTATTATTTGATGAGACATATTTATGAAAACAGCTCAAACATAAAGAAAGGTTGAACTTCACTTCAAGTTGTGGTTCATAGTAACAAACCCTTACAACAACGATGAACAAATGTTTCGCATTCATAGTTTCATGATAAAGCTAAGAAATTACATTTCAGCATTATGTGCATATGTAAAACCATGTAATGATACAAATGAACCACCAGAGGGCTACATTTTCCTGTGTGAATCCTCAGTGGCAGTTATTAGGACAACTGTTAGTTTATTATTTAAACTTAGCTTCAATTCTGATAAAACATTTTCCTTGAAAAATCTCCTGAAAACCTAATTCCTCCCCTGTGATCAATTATTAAAATACTTTTTAGTTAAACATTAACTGAACTTAGCTTCACATGCATGTTCTCTTGGTTTTAAATACTTTTGAAATATTTTAGACCAAATAATTTGTTAATGAATCAAAAGGTTCCCCAGCTAACAGCCTCAGAGTCACTTTTAGCAGTCAGACCATCAACATGAGGTCATCAGTCAGACAGAAGACACCCTAAAATCAAAACCCAAAGCTTTGAACCTCCCTAACTGATCCATCTTTCTCCTTCATGTGTCCTCTTCCTCTCATTTGTCTCCCCATATTATCATTAATCTGCTCTGTGTCCTACTTTCTGTTGCTTGGATGATTAGAAAATGAGGCTCTTGACTGAATGTGAGCTCACACAGATCACTCAGAGAAGATATGCATCATTCATCAGAGCTTACATAACGCTGTCACCATGTGCGGCTCTATTTAGGATGTCAGATCCAAAGCTCGTGTTCTGCTGCTGCTTGTCCCACCACCACCACCCCCACTCAAACACCACCCTGCATCCACCAGTGGGCTCTTACTCCATGATTATTTGTGACACAACATGATTCTGCAATCTCCCCATGCTCCAATCGCGTCAGTCTTTTAGCTTCAAGATGTTACAATTCCTCACTTTGTGGGATCAACGAGAGCATTTCTGAGGCTGAGGAGAAGAACTTCCCCACGTATCCTTTTCTTTAATTCTCACTTGAAGTCCTCTTTAAATTAGTAATAGATTCCCCATCTATCCCATCATCACCTCAGCATAAAACCATTTCTGGCCTTCTTCACTTTCTAAGGCTGGAAGTAAAACTACCACCCATTCCTCTCTGAATCTGAAAGTAGATCAGTGCAAGAACAGATACTTTTCACCAAAACGTAGAATGCAGTCCAACAGCAAGCAGAACCACCACCATCAGCCCAAAGAACCTCCATTAACAGCAAGCAGACACCATCATCAGCCTACAGATGCCAAACTTACCCAGAGCCATAGCTCTGTTGAACCATCCATTCCACCTGCTCTTAGCAGTAATGATTTTATGGGATTCTTTATAAATAAGATTGATCTTATTAAAGATAAGCACTCCTCTAACTATGAGTTGTTTATCTTTGAAAACTGAGGCAGAATCTGAGGGAGCCATAGAATCTGAACCTGGTTTATACTACTTTGATAAAGTTTAACTTTCAGATTTAGCAAAACTATTGCCTTCATTTAAGCCTTCAACTTGTATGGTAGATCCAATTCCAACCAGGTTATTTAAGGAAGTATTCCCTATGATCTCGTCCTTTATTTTAGATGTGATTAATCTATCTCTGTTACAGGAATAGGTGCCAAAGGCTTTTAAGTTTGCTGTAATTAAAACTTTACTTAAGAAACTGTCTCTTGACCCAGATGACTTGGTTGATTATAGGCCTATATCCAATTTTCCTTTCTTATCTAAAACTCTTGAGAAAATAGTTCCCAAACAAGTGTGCGATCACTTACACCATAATTAACTTTTTGAAGAGCTTCAGTCTAGCTTTAGAGCTTATCAAAGAACCGAAACAGCTCTGGTCCATTATCTGATCTCAAGTTGATCATAATATTCTTTTAGAAAAACTTGAATATTCTGTAGGAATTAAATGAACAGCACTAGACTGGTTTAAATCTTATCTATCTGATCGATTTTAGTTTGTTCATGTTAATGACAAAACTTCCTCTTGCTCAAAGGTTACCTGTGAAGTACCACAGGGATCAGTGCTAGGGTCAATTCTATTTACTATATATGTGCTCCCAATCGGTAGAGTTATTTCCACTGTTATGCTGATGATACTCAACTATATCTGTCTATAAATCCAGATGAAGATAATCCATTACCTAGATTACAGGCATGTCTTGAAGACATAAAAAGCTGGACGACTCTTAACTTTCTGCTTCTGAAAGCAGGAAGCTAAAGCAGAATTTCCTTATCTCATCTGCGTAATATTGCAAAAAATTTGAAATATCCTGTCCAATAAAAAAAAAAAGAAAGAAATATCCTGTCCATGCTGAGAAACTAGTCCATGCATTTGTTACTTCAAGGCTGGACTATTGTAATTCTTTACTATCAGGAAGTCCACAAAACGTAGTTAAAAGCCTTCAGCTGATCCAAAATGCTGCAGCCAGAGTTCTGATGAAAAATTAAAAAGAGAGATCATATCTCTCCTATCCTGGCTTCTCTTCATTGGTTTCCTGTTAAATCAAGACTAATATTTAAAATCCTTCTTCTCACATATACAGCCTTAAATGGCCGAGCTCCATCTTATATCAGAGATATGATTGTTCCTTATGTTCCTAACAGAGCACTTGGCTCTCAATCTCCTTAGAGCGGATCAGGTTATCCTAGGCTATCTCTATAGTTATGCTGCTATAGGATTCATCTTCTGGATGACATGGGGACCCCTTTTTCATCATTCTGCTTCATTCTACTCCCTTCTATCCCACTGTGCAGAATGTGTTAGTTCAGTCTCTAATGTTATGCTCCCTCTGCTTTTTCTCATAGTAGCTTGGTCTGTTTTTGTTTGGCTGTGACTCCATCCTGCAGAGAAATATCATCTGTGCTGCTGCCATCAACACCTTTGTTTATAGATGCTGGAGCTCGGTTGTGGTGTTCTGCTGAACACCTCCAGCAGTATCTGAGTCTTTTGGGGTCAGAACCAGGGAGCTATCTGAACGGTTCACATGAATTGTTTACTAGAAGAGTCCAAATCATTGTCTATCAACAAAGCCTTGTGAATTTGAACATTTCATTCTCTTTATATACCTGATTGTTTGTTTTCTAATGGAACCACAGCTCCAAAAGGAGGCACACCTAAAGAAAAAGTGTGACCCCTTTTTTTTTAAGTGGCTTTTTAATAATCTTTCACCTGCTGATGAGTAAACACTTGAGAATCGTCTTGAAGCTGGGCTCTGATTTTTATTTCCAGCACTCTAGCAATCAGAGCCTCACAGGTACAGCTAAGCAGCAGGAGTTAATTTACCAGGAGTAAAACAGCTCCAGTAAATGTGTTTGCTTGCTTCTGATAAGATAAGGACACATTGATAGTGTCCTTGAAGCCACAGAGACCACTTAAAAAAAAGTGAACTACTGAATTCTGCTTGGTGCTGCTAAAAAAGGGCTTCTGGTGAACCATCAGAGCTCTGCAGTGTGGTGTACATTTTAGGACATCCTACAGTCTCAGAGAAATAAGGTTATCCGAAAAAAGCTATCAGGTCTCAGAAATCCCTAAAACATTGTCAGGTCTTAGGAAAAAATAAACGTAGCAGAGCTGACTGTTTTATACCAGATTACTGATATTTTTTAATCAATTTCTAAATACTTATTTCTACAATCCTAAGAAAGTCTTAAAATGTACATCTTATTGCAGGTAGATATTTTTCATGAAGACATTAACCTTACCTCCCATGTCCCTGATCTCTAGTCGACCCACTCCGTTGCTGCTGGGCGGGAACAGAGACACCCACACTGGTTTCCATTTCTGAAACAAAACATAAGGTTAAAAAGTAGTCAAAGACGATGACAACTGAAGAAACAGACGTTTTGCTTGATGTTCAAGTGGAACAGAAACACGTCATCAGGACGACACGCTTCCTTTTATTCCGTCACACCTGAACAGGTCTGCAGAGGCGGTTTCAGCCCTCCCATGTGTGAAACCAAGGTAAACATGAGTCAGATCCCATCTGTGTCAGGTATGTACCAAACACACACAGAGTCACAGCAGAGGAGTTTCTCTGTTCCTTCTGAATCCTGCAACCTTTAGTTCCTGGGTGACTCTGAAGCCTGCTAGGAATGTGCTGGGAGGAAACTTTGCTCTGTTTCAACTTGCCTGTTTGGATTCCCCAAGTCTCATTTAAACTCCACCAACAAATTTATAGAAACTTCTACTGCGCTTCTTAAACTGGACAGAATGAGACTCAGAGGTTAAAACCATCCATTTAACATCAACATTCTGATCGTCTGCCTATTTTTTTTACTACTACTTCAATTAGGATTAACACTTGATTACTAGGAAAAATTCACATTTATAGTAAAGTAAAGATCTACTCACTTGGTTGGATTTGTGTGGCTGAAGAAACAGTTTCCCAGTTTTCCCTTTAGAATCCATGAAAAGGACCACACCAGGCCGCCGTTGCTGCTGCTGGAGGACGTAAAAAACACGTCTGAAGAGTTTCCTTCTTTGCTTTGGATTAAGGTTGGGCTCCGTGAAGCATTCCTGGAATATGATCCTTACATGCTAAAACACACACACACGTCATTTAAAAGGATTGGCTGGAGTAACAATCAGGACACAGTTCCGTTTTCATAGAGATTAACTCCAAATAATTTTACTAACACATGATTATGAATAATCTGCATTGAAACACAAAAATATATTACTTTTTACAAACATGTCAACATGTGAAATATCCATCAAAATCTCAAATACAAAGCTACAAAATATGTTTAAACATAGTGGCAGAAACTTCTAATATTTACTTTTTTTTCCTTTTCTGCTTCAAGCGATTATTTGATTAATTGATTTCTTTAGTTTTGGTTTGATTGCTCTTCCAATAAATGCTTTTTCTGAATATTTTATGTTTTGTAATGTGCTATTTTACAACCATTATGATATAAAAGGGAGACTTTAATCATATTAACCGTATTTATTTAGGTCATGATAGTAGGTGATATGGTAAATGTAGCACTTAATGCTAAATAATGATAATAATAATTATAATTATTATCTGATAATGATCTACTAAAGTTTCACTTTAGTAGATCATTATCAGATAATGCAGTAATACATTTTAAAGAATATTTTTCCCTTTTCATCTCTTTGTTACTGAACGATACTGCAGGTGGCAGGCAAACATTTTTATGTATTCTACTTCACAAAATTATTTTAATAAAGGGTTTACTAGTTTCCTGCGTATTGCGTAAAACGTGTCCCCATTAAAACAAAAGAAAACCTTATAAACAGTCAACTGCTGTATAAAATGATCCTTCATAAAGCAAGAGCCACATATTTCTCTTCATTAATAGAGGATCATAAGATTAATCCCAGATTATTTTTTAAATACAGTTGCCTCACCCAGAGCCATAGCTCTGTTGAACCGTCCCTCCAACCTGCTCTTAGCAGTAATGTTTTTATGGGATTCTTTAAAAAATAAGATTGATCTTATTAAGAATAAGATCAATAGCACTCATCTAACTACAATTGGTTATCTCTGGAAGGTGAGGCAGCATCTGAGGTAGTCATAGAATCTAAACTATTCTCTTCATCAAAGCCTTCAACTTGGATGTTCGATCCAATTCCAACCAGCTTATTTAAGGAAGTATTCCTTTTGATCTCCTCCTCCAGTTTAGATGTGATTACTCTATCTCTGTTACAAGGATACAGTATGTACCAAAGGCTGCTGTAATGAAACCTTTTCTTTAGAAACTGTCTCTTGACCCAGATGACTTGGTCGATTATAGACCTATATCCAATCTTCCTTCCTTATTTAAAATTCTTGAGAAGGTAGTATCCATACAAGTGTGACCACTTACAGCTTAATTAACTTTTTGAAGAGTTTAAATCGGGTTTTAGAGCTCATCATAGCACTGAAACACCTCTGGTTAAAGTCACTAATGATATTCTCAGTGTGTACTTTTCCTGTAAGATCTCAGCGCTGTATTTGATACAGTTGATCATGATATTCTTTTAGAAAAACTTGTATATTTTGTAGGAATTAAGGGAACAGCACTAGACTGGTTTAAATCTTATTTATCTGACAGATTTCTGTTTGTTTATGTTAATGATAAATGTTCCTAATGCAGATAATATGCTGATGGTTTTTATACAAGAACGAGCATCTAAATGTCACCTCTTTCAACAAAAGTTTAAAGTAAAAACAGCAAATATGGATTGACAGAAAAATAGATAATAGATTTTAAATTCTATGTTTACTATGGGCAATTATCAGGTGGATCCGAATCAGAATCCAATTTACTTTATTAATCCCCTGCAGGAAATTCTTTCTTGCAGTGCAACCGTTTACAGAAGAGAGAAAAAATAGGATTTTAAGTACAAATAAGACATAGGAATCAAATAAGATAAGGGTAAGAATAAATTAAAATAAAATAAGATAAGTGTAAAATTAAGGATTACGGTACAGGTAAAGGCAAAAGTGATGGAGGATACCTACTGGCAAAAACATAGAGTAATAACAAATAAATGAAACTAGAAGTCCAGCAGGTACAAAAAACTCTCGGTATAAATAATTAAGAAAGATTGATAAAAAGTTAATGTAGTAATAGAATGGAAAAACAGCACAATGAGTCATTTAAAACCCAATCTAAGTCATGTCACATCTCTGAGTGCTACAAAATATGAACTCAAAAGAACTTTAGAAAATAAAAAATAATACAAAAATTTTAGACGTTTCTGTTTGTATTTATGTTTCTCTACTAAATTTGTGTAGATTATGGTTTATCTTTAACTTTTGTTTTTTTCCATTTGTATTCTTGTTTCGAGTTAGAGGGCTGATTGTCCTAGCAACGTTTTTTAGCAACTTTTGCAGCTTTTCCTAATGGATGTTAAACATGCGGCTCTACTCATCTGTTCAGAGGTAATTAACAAAGATTTTGAGTTGTAAAGGTGCCATATTTCCCATATATTTATTTTTAAAGAGGAAACAGGCCATATTTGCTTATTGTATCTTATATTCAGAGTTAAATGTCCAATATAATTAAATAAGAAATATTAACAATGAGCCACCTAGAGCAGGTTTTTGTTGTTTGAACAGTAAAATCCCCCTCAGATTGGGCAGACAAAGCACTAATATCCTCCTTATTCAGCCTTTTTTTAATCAAGGTCTTTCGGCTTTCCATGCCTTGTCTCCTGAAAGCTGCGCCCCCCACAAACCACAACCATGACAACCAGTCAGAGTTCTTAATGATAGAGGACTGATATAATACAGAAGAAAAAGGCTGGAGCTTGACCGATGGGCTTCTACAGACCGTTCTGAGCAGCTTATAACAATACACATAAAAGGAGCAGATTGAACAAATAACCTGTCATTGCCATTCATTTATGTTGTTAAGAACAATAATATACATTTTTTATTCCATCTGAAATACGGACAAATTTTTTTCATCCGTTTTTCAATTAACGGCTGAAAACCCTTTAGTTGAACTAGTAGCCATTTGACCAGAGGTGCTACTGCCTCTATCTGCTGTGATGAACTAACTAGGCTGTTACAGTTTTTCTGGATTGTTTACACACATTTCTGAAAACATGCCTCGTATTCTCAGAACTCTACACACAAATCCAACAAACACACACACAATGGGCAAAACCCTTCAATTCTCCTGCAAAATGAAACTTTACATTCAAAACAGTTTTATCTCTTCACAAAAGGCCATTTTGTGTTCAGATGACACACAAACTATCATATGAACAGACAATTAAAAAAAGCATTTAAACACTGATGTGCTCAGTGTAAAACACCATTCTCCATTCATCATAATGACTTTTTGTTCAGTGTTACACTTACTACAGACATTAAATACATAAGTGCGTTGTAAAATATTTTAGAATATTGTTTTTATACTCAGAACACACAAATATACTGTAACAAACATGTTTTATTTTTCCC